AGTCCTTCTCCTCGGCGCTGCAGTCAATGCATTTCATCTTGGATTTCCTAAAAAGCAGGTCGAGGAGGGAAGTTCCTCCAAACCTGTTCAGATCAAAATGCTAAAAAAGCCTTCGTTACACACTGCAGTAACAATTGAGAAGCAGCGGTGGAGCCCAGGTCGGTCCCAGCCCGGGGAAGCCTGGCCCTGGCCCCGGCCCCGAGATGGCGTTCCCTTTCTGGCAGGACTTGGGACAGTCTCCAGCTGCTGCAGAGGTACCCGAAATCTCCGCTTCCCTGTCTTCTTCAGCAGTGGAGGCGAATGCTCAGAATAAAATCCTATTGCCCTGGAGAGCATGAGAGCGCTGAGCTCGAGAGTGTTTGCATCAGCGAGAATAAAAGTCATTTTGGCAGGGAAATGGGGCCGCAACGACGCTTTTTCTGGCTTGACCCGGCATATTTTGTCTGTGGGATGAAACTTGAGAAGTCGGTGTGCAGGGGCTGCGGTGCTCTCGAGCACGGCCGGACCTCCCGCAGATCCCTGCCTTTCTGGCACCCATGACCTCGTTTTTGCACGGCGCTGTTCAGCCGCTCTGCGCACGCCGGCGGATGCGAGATCCGTTGTGCAACCGCGTGCATTTACATAACACGAGTTTGCTCTGATGGTGGCTCAAAGCGAAAGCATGTAGACATTTCCTGAAGCTGTAAATTCACCCATCACTGTTGTGCTTTTACACTTCGCATACGGGCTAGATTGTGTATTGAGGTGACTCATCCAATTAAGTTATTACTATTTCGCACGCGAAGAATGGGCAGTGCTGCAATGGAGTTGACAGGGTGACTCGTTAACCTTTAGACTAACCAAAACCCACAATATTCGGTACCATAGGAACAGGAATTCCTTATGTGACCATTTAACCCTTGGGTGCCAAGACACACAAACGTGGCTCAAGCAGAAACTGGGGACCCACGGCCAAGCCAAAAGGTTTCTGTTCTCTTTAGGTTTTGGCAGGAGATGTGTGGGAATGGAAAAGAGAAGTCCCAAAGCAGGCAGCCGTGGGCTAGGGGACACCTGGACCCCAGGGGTGCCACAAACCCAGCCGGGTCTGAGACACAGGTGGGGGGCAAACGGGGCACCAAAAGGGAGACCCTGGCTGTGACGGGGGCAGCGGGCGCTGGTCCGAGGGCTGGGGCGGGCGACGTCTGATGTCTGCGGAGAGCGATTGTCCTGCTGGCGCTTCGGCTTCCCCATGGCTCCATCTGCGCCTGGAGCCATCAGCCCCGTTCATGACGCCTTCCCGAGACCCGCCAGAAAAACCCCAGGGAACTGATCGTTGGTCCAACTTTATGCTCAAGAAGTATTTTGCCTTTGATCAGAGCACCCCTCTTCCAGGGCCTCCGCCTTGAAGCCTGTGGCCGAACTAGAAGCAGAAACCTGAGCGTTTGGGAAGGTTTTGGCCTTTGTGTTCCCCTCTAATTCTCAGCCAGATGTACTTTTTTAGGCAAGTCAAAAGTCAGCAAGAAAAAATAGGCAGCTCCATTCTTATTCGGGTGTGAAACTATAACTTCTGCCATTGCAGAACAAGCTACACAGGTAAAGTTATACAATTTCTTTGTCAGCGTTTTCTAATTTAGCTTCATGTCTGCTCCTCGCCCAACTTTCTGGACGGGGTTGCTGGGATGGGGGGGCTGGGGCCGGCCCCTGCTCTGCACGAGTGGCGGAAACTCGCCTCTTCCGTAAGGCGGGTCATGAAGTGCTGCAGAGGAGGAGGTTGGTGTAGGAGGCATGTTCCGCATCCAGCTTGGGCTAAGCATGTTGTAGACATTTGGTTGTCAACATGTTGTTT